ATGAAGCAAAGTATTCCATCAAGTATCTTCTTTATTGTACATCTCAATTTTTTTTAAAAAAAAACACATAGGCCCATATGAAATCGAAGCCAAAGCCAGATTTCATCAACAGAATATTATGATACAAGTTAACTATTGCTTTCCCTTATCCCATTCTATTCAATCTAATAATATTCATTATTATTTTCCAATATGCAACAACTTTGTTTTTGTTTGTTTTACAATTCTATCTCTTGTTTTGTTAGCAACAGAGTACTATCACTTTCGATTCAAACAAACAAATAAACCATGTTATGATGGAGTTTTGTTCTCGGATTTGAATGGTTTGGTCATGGAGCTTTCATTGTTCTACTGAACCACATCATCAGCACAAACTTCAGATAGAAGTGAAGTGTTCGAATTTCTTCACATGTGGTTCACAGCTTGTCTTGTACACCTCGATGTTGATTAGTTCTTGTTGACCTTTAACCTGCCATTGTTTACTTCTTTGTTTTAAGTGTATTTTACATTGGTTTGATTTTTGTTCCTATGTTTGAGCATAATTTTCCTGATCAATTGATAAATTGGATTGATTTCAATGTGCTTGTTTATTTCTGACTGACTTCAGTGCTAAGCTTCGAAAAATTCTCTGGTGTTATCAGGATTTCCTCTATCCAAAATATTCACAGTTTTCCAGTCGAATGTGTGTCCACAGTTGTCCATGTGCATTGATATAAGCGAGGATATGTCATGGTGTTTGACTGCTAATTGTTGTTCATGCAGGCGAAGATGGAGAGGGCGTTCGCTTTGTCCGTTGTAGTATCTTTTGCAGTTGTCACAAATTATTTTATAAATGATATTTAGTTTGTCTTCTTTCGTCATATCATCCTTTGGTTTGCATAGAATTGATTGTAGGAATTTGATTAGTTTGTATTCAACATCTATTCCAAAGGTTCTCAGCAGTCTCGTTGTCGTTTCTGATATAAACCATATTAATTATGATCATATGAATTTCGTCCATGTTGAAGTTATCGTCAACTGTTTTATCAATTTTTTTTCTTCAGTGATAAGGAGAATTTATCACAAGGGGGTTTAGTGGAGATTTTAGTAATTTCAATTGTTGAGATCATGAGTCAATTGAAGCTAGAACAGCATTGAAAACCTGGAGGCACTGGACGGCCGTTTCGTTCTATTGTGGGACTCTTCAGTAGTGAACATCCACGATCCCGCCCCCCCGGGATTCAAACCCAGGACCTACTGGCCTCGCGCGCGAGCACTTTACCACTAGAACACTGAGCCGGCCGGCCTTCAAAGGTGTTAATGTTTAACTTCAACTAGTCCACGGAATTGAGCGACAAATCTACCATTGTCTTCAGTGAGTTACTATCTCACAACTGACCCAGTTGAACTCCATGAACTCAGTTTCGTGGATTAGTGGAAGTTAGACATTAACACCGTTGGATATCTATATTTTGTCTAAAATTTCAGTTTAGATAAATATTAATTCATTTGAATAGTATAAATAGTATGGTATTAGACAGTGTTAGTTGTAAAGTGTTTACTTTGTCTATTTTTCTTCTTGTTTATTGATATGTAAATAGTTTGATTCATTTTTTTAGGATGGATACTTTTTAAAGAGTAAGAGTTAAAACACTCGGGTAATTTTTTCTTAACTTTGAACAACCATTCCTTTCTATAAATGTCACTCCACTAACGATCGAGGAAATTAGGATTACTATTAAACAAATCAAGAGTGGGAAAGCAGTAAGACTTGATAATATACCAGCTGAAACTCTGAAGTCAGACATAGAAATAACTGCAAGCATGTATTTAGGAAGATTTGGGGGAAGAACAAATGCTGATGGACAGGAAAGAAGGACACCTCATTAAGAAATGTGAGTAAGTGTGAGAAATCAGCTGCAGAGGAATCATATTGTTGTCATTAGCAAGAAAGGTTTTGAACAGAGTTTTGTTGAACTCGGTGAAAGACCCAATAGACGCCCAACATCAAAATCAACAGGTTGAATTCCGTAAGGATCGGTTGTGCACAGACCAAATCACGACATTAGGGATCATCGCTGAGCAATCAGTTGAGTGGAACTCGTCACTAATTCCTCAGCTTCATTAACCATGAGAAGGCGTTTGACAGTATAGATAAAAGGACCTTATGGAAACTTCTTTAACATTATGGTGTACTTGAAAAGAATGTCAATATCATCCGGAATTCATACGACGGACTACACTGTAAAGTGGTGCATGTAGCACAACTGACAGATGCATTTCAAGTGAGTCAAACAAGACTGCCTACTTTCGCCTTTTCTATCTCTTCAGGTGGTCAACTAGATTGTGAAGACCTCCACATCTAAAGGGAAGCACGGAATACAGTGGACAGCTTGGATGCAATCACACGATTCAAACTTTGCAGATGACCTGGTCCTCCTATCCCATGCACACGAACAAATGCAGATAAAGGCAACCACTGTAGCAGCAGCCTGTGCAGCAGTAGGCCACAACGTACACCAGGGAAAAAGCATGACCCTCAAATACAACACAGAGAACACCAACACAATCACATTTCATGGAGAAGCTCTGGAAGATGTGGAATATTTCACGTACCTGGAAAGCATCATCGATGGACAAGGAGGATCTGATGCAGACATAAACTCAAGGATTGGCGAAGCAAGGATAAAATTCCTACAGTTGGAGAACATATGGAACTCAAAACAACGGACAACTAACATCAAAATGGGAATCTTTAATACGAACGTCAAGACAATTCTACTGTTCGGAGCTGAAACTTGGAGAACTACTACAACCACCATCAAGAAGGTAAAAGTGTTTATAAATAGCTGTCTACGCAAGATACTCAATATGCGTTGTTGGCCAGATACCATCAGCAACAGCCTTCTATAGGAGAGAACAAACCAGTTTCCATTTGAAGAGCAAATTAAGAAAAGACCCTGGAAATGGATAAAGCATACATTGAAGAAATCAACAAACTGCATCAGGAGGTATGTCTCAACTTGGAATCCTGAAGGTGAACGGAAAAGTGGAAGGTCGAAGAACACATTACGTCGGTAATTGGAAGCAAACATGAAAAGGATGGACAGAATCTGGAAACAACTGGAAAGGATTGTTCAGGACAGAGTTGAATGAAGAATGCTAGTGCGTGGACTGTTCTCCTCTACGAAGGTTAAGGGGCGTAAATAAGTTCAACAACCAGTCAAAACACTGGTGCTTACAAAAATATCACATTCTATGCAAAAACTTTGAAGAATTTATATCAGAGATGGGCGAACATTATTATTCAGTGTCATAAACGTAAAAATACGCCATCAAGTGATTGGGAAATAAACAAATAATAATATGCTTTTGGATGAATGTGATCCAAAGATCCTAGTCTACTTAATTCTGATTTATACTCTTTCCTATATTCTATTATTTTTCTTAAAAAAAAGTGTTTAATTTTCAAATCAAATCAAGTCTTGATTAAATACTTATTCATTATATGACTTTATTCTATCATGTGGTATGGCAACTTGAACTGATGTACGTACATACGAAATTCTGCGTTGTTGCTAACGTACTGACTGATTCTATCATCCCTTAGTATAAAGCAACTATTAGATGGTGGTTGGAGGTAGTCAACATGATCGATAGCATTCGGTCTGCACTAATAAGAACTAGACAAGCATGACATTGATCACCACCCAGTGATCAATCAATTGTGATAAAGCAACTATCCTACAACCCATTTCAAATACGATTAACTTTTGTCAAACCCTTTTATTAACTTACTTAACAGACAATGTTATTGGAACAGTAACAATTCGCTTATATCTTTGTACTATTATGATCACTATCATATCTGCATAAACGTTTACCTTGATCACATGACAGCCTACGTGCATATCTCTCTCTAGCTAAAATGCTAACCGCCTAAATATCGCTCGATGATTCATTCTTTTCCCCATGTATATACGTACTTGAATACTATTATTAGCCTTTGTATTGCCTAGCTGCGCCTTATTCGATTTGACTATAAATTTGCCTCTGCATTTGCTCGTATACACATATTCGCCTCTCCGCTTTGAATTCGTTTGTTATCTGTTCTATCCGCAAATAAACTGTAGTCGCCGCATCTTATTGCCTTCTGATTTCAAAACACTGTTGAGATTTATATAATAACAGTTACAAAAGTGATTGATTAACGAAGCAAAGCCACTACAATTAGATTGTAATTAATTTAATCTACATCAGGACCCAGATCAAGTTGAATATCAACAGTGTTAAACTACACTATGTTGTTAGTGACTATAAATGACGCGGAAAAATTACCTAGAGGTTTATATTCCCTTGCTAGTTAATTGAATACATAGATTGTCAAATTAAAGAATCAATCATGAGAATCTAACAAATTTTGTTTGTACATAATGGTTACACTTAACTTAGAAGTTTTTTCACATTTAATTGTCAACTTCTATGAATTCGGTGTTCATTAGTCTAGGTGACTAGACATTGCGTGCTCTATGTTGACATAGGATGGTGGTTGGAAGTATTCAACAGGATACCGTGGACCCGGGTTTCGTGCTATTTGGCACAAAACGAACAACTTTTGTCACTCTGAGAATTGTTCAAATGAAGTACACCACCATAGACTTAAAATATAACATTATATATAATACTTACTTACGCCTGTTACTCCTCGTGGGGGAGCATACGCCGCCTACCAGCATTCTCTACCTAACCCTGTCCTGGGCAATCTTTTCCAGATCTTTTCATTTGTTATGCATCCTGTAGCATGTAGCTCTTCTAGAGTTACTGACGTTCCCAAGCTCAGGTAAAGAAGAAGGATTGGGCATAGGGTTAGCGACTCCATTTTTAACCAACTGGACCTGTTATCTTAAATCTGCTTGGTTCGTCCACAATATTATAATCTTATCATATAAAGGAATTCATACCTATAATCTTACTCAAACTTCTTTTGTTTGTTTGTTTGTTAAATATAACTAAATACAAAGGTTGCTTATAAATATATTGGTTCAGAGAGACGTGAAAAAAGTCAATCACCTCAACGTATAAAACGTGTTAATTCAGATGAATTTCCATTAAAACAATTCAATTCAAATGGAATAGAACATTTACCTCAATTAATAATTGGTTCAACACAATTACCTAATCAACGTCAACGTAAAATTCCATTAAATCAATCAAATTCTAAATTAATTAATGAACATATATCAGTTAAATCGAATGGTTATGCTGTAATTGTTGTACCAAATACTGGAACAATAGAACGTAAGTATTGATTATTATGATCAATTTATTCTTAAATATGAATATAAGAGTATTTTGTAGTCAAGGGGGTGGGGACAATCGAATGTATTTGAACAATACAAATCTACGAACCTTCTTTCATTTCCACATTAATCACTCTCTGTTCTCGTTGTCTCTTCGTCAATCTACTTAACTTTCTACCATTAGGCTTTAGTGGTCCATGGATCTGACTCCAATTACATCGTATGAATGTTTGTTATCGCCTATTTTCGTATATCATCATCGACTTAAATCACGTTGGTCAATAACGGAATTAAATAAGCCAAATAACGAGAATGGACTTTTGAACACATATATTTTGTATATAAAGCGAATGGAATAGAAAGAAGAGAAACGACGCAGAGTGGAGATGGCTGGTAAGCCAACTCCCATTTAACCAAAATTTATAGTTACACAAAAGTAAGTTACAGATATGTGACGAGTAATGGGATAAGAAATGAACACACACCTACGCGCTCATATAAAAACAGTCAAGATTGATAAGCGAATAAACAACAAGGTCAGTATGTGACTCAAGTAGAATGAATAGAATGGGCTGTGCGAAAGCTAGAATAAGGTATATGGGCTTAACATAATAAACGACACTACAAGGCATTCAACTTTCGATTGATGATACATACTACTTATATCTATTGACATCAGTAACACACACCACACTATCTTAACCCTATTTTACTATTATTCTGACATAATTGAAGTTTTTATCATAGAAAAATATTGTTCCTTTGTTCATCGAAATTCACTAGACAAAAGTGGTTTGATTAATTTTTTTTTAGTTAGCGTTTTTTTAGCGAGTTAGTTTTCTACTGGATGGGGTCGATAACCTCATGCTTAACACACCTCATTTATCCGGGCTTGGGACTGGTGGTAGCCACAGAGGGGTTCCAGATGGAGTTCTAGACAAAAGTACGTATTGTAATCAACCAATTTATCATTATAGTCATAACTTGTGATTATAGTTAATAGGGTAAAAAATGAATCAACAAAAATCGAACGTGGAAAATACTTGTTCTCTTATAGACAAAGATGAATGCTGACTAGCAGTGGAATCGGGGAGGTGCGTCTCACACTACATGGGTGTCACTACCTGGATTCAATATTATTGTAGTGAACGAGAACACAAGTGGGGACAGTCGAATGTAATTGAACACACAAATTACAGAATGTCTTAGTAAAATCTGTGAACCATACAGTAAATAGTTCATTTGCAAAAGGTCAATCAATTATCTTAAACTTGACTGTTCATTCGTTTCCACAACAATTATTCTCTGTTCTCATTCTGTTTTCTTTGATTTTCTTAACTTTCTGCCGCAATGTGTTTAACTTTTGATCGGTGGTACATACCACTTACATCTGTAGCGTGGTGTCGAGTTGAGGGTAACTATGAACACCGCTACAAAGAAACACGTGCCAAGTAAATCAGAAGGCGAAGGTTGAACGTAACCAAATAAATCCATAAAATCCCCGAGAAGCCAAATATTAGAAGGCAGTTAATGGACCAAGTCGAGATATATTTGCTGGCGATCTCGTGGTATTGAAAGGATACCGAGATCGTGCCAGGATACAAGCTTGGTTACAGAACGTAACCGAATTCGCGCGAAGTCACAATCAAAGTGTGTGTATAAGAATAGAAGCAAAATATAGCTGTCATTAGCACAGTCAAACAAAAGCACATTAAAACAAACACTGGTACAGTTGGTTATAATAATAATTGTTTTTATTAAACCAGTCGTGTTCTCGTGATAAATGTGAGTCACTACACATCTGTCGACATCAATACAATACACAACAATTTAAGCTAATCTGTGTATTCTTTACGATAAATTCTCTTCAGGTTCTACAATTATATAATCGAAATTAATAAACTGCAACAATGGCCAGGTTAAAGGTAAAGCACTTCGTTTCAAGTTAAAACGCGTAAACTGTAGGATTGTTAAACAAAATAGAATAAAATAGTTCGTGCTGGTAAGACTCATATGGAATGTTAACTTGAACCTGCTTATATGTTAAGTGAATAGGTTAAGATCCATGATCCCAATAAATATGGGGTCAGATAGGGTGGGAGAAACAATAGTGCAATTACAATTCGATCAAATGTTTATTGGAAGGTTATACTGTGTGAAAAAAAATCGATTGTAAATAAATAACATATTGACGAAATGTTCGATAGTTTTCAATGGTTATGTATCTAGTAGAAACAGTTGACAATAAAAACTTCATCGAGTTGACTATGTCTCCATGTTCCACTTCATTCGGTGGTGCTCTAAGTTATTAGAAGTAGTTAAACAAAAAATCTTCCATGGGACCTAAAATCATTTAGTTCCACTTCACAAAGATATTTGTAGTGACGTTAGCATAAATGTGTCCGGAGTAGAATTGTAATTTTGACCTTCTTTAAATCCCAATTTTCGAAAGTAACTTTAAACTACTCATGAGTAGGTTAGACATACAAACCAAGTAATTCCTAAAGCATATTTTAGTTAGTGTCGGATAAAACCTGGATTTGAATACTTTTTATTTCCTAGAAGAAACTCCAGAGCTGAAAACAGAAAATGGTTGGATTGCTGAAAGGTTGAACAATGAATTAAATGAAGATTCATCTCCAACTGATAAAGAGAAGCATAGTTCAACTTATCCAAGTCCAGCTACAAATGATAATGATGAAGGAGAAGAGGAAATAGAACTAGTTACAACAGAACAAACTTCACCAGATGTGAATATTACAGTAGATGGTGAGTTACATCAATAAATCAGAGTCAATCTTAATATAAATCTGATTAATACCATTATTTTATGTAATATGGGTGAATGTTGATTAGTTGACAATTTTTCAACTGTCGGTCAATATAGTAGCGGTTGAGGTAGTAAACGTATAAGCAGCAATCGGAAAAATTAGGGTTTGAAGATGTTATTCAAGGAGTATAATCCAGTGAAATAAATCTGGAAGGAGAAAAACAAGAAATGGGTATGAAGAATTCAGAAGATTAGAATTTGGGAGAACACAAAGAGTGGATGCACCTGCGCCATTGCAAACGATTTTGAGCCATGTTATTCAGGGTCTCTAACCATCGGTTGCTATCATCTCGCGGTCCCCAACCAGGTAGTCTACACCTACCAATATGACTCAGTCCACTTATCAGTGACTTCATGAACTTGTGCCATGTTTTGGTCTGGCCACCCCTAGCTTTCTTCAAACCTACTCCTATACCATTGAACATGGCACGTCGAGGCAGTCGGTCGTTGGACATACGTAACAGCCATCTCAACTGATGAAGTTTCACTACTTCACCAATTGATTTGCCATCCTTACCTAGTACCCGTTTCCTAACAACTGTGTTGCTTACTCGATGGTCCCAGGATATACGAGCAATATTTCGAAGACATCTATGATCGAATACTAGTAACCTGGGAATATCCTCTACTCTTACCAGCCATGTTTCACTGCCATAAAGTAGGACGGAACGAACTGCTGTGCAGTAAACACGTCCTTCGGTTGATAGACGGATATCTCGCCTACGCCATAAATGACGCAAGTTGGCAAAAGCTAGTCGAGCTTTCTGTATCCGTGCTGAGATTTCGTCACACACCAGACCACAAGGGCTGATGAGACTTCCAAGATAAGTGAAGCGGTCGACACACTCAACTACTTCACTCCTTATCATTAATTCAGGTGTCGATGTAACCCAATCCTGAAGCAACATTTTTCATTTCGAGGGGGAGAATCGCATCCCGAACATGCTTGTATTGTTGCTTTAAGTGGTCAGAAGACTGCATTTTGTCATCGTCTTCACCAAATAGAACTATATCATCGGCATATTTTAAGTCAACAAGTGAATCCCCTAGTAGAATTTCAACACCTGTAAATTTAATTGAGGAAAGTGTTATTTCTAAAAGCACATCTACGATAAAGTTAAACAAGAATGGAGAGAGTGGGCAGCCCTGACGAACACCAACTGAAGTAACCAATTCTGATGACAGTTCGCCATAAGCTCTCACTCTACCAGTTGTGTTCGAGTAGAGAGCCTTTATAAGGTTAATGTACTTCTTTGGTACTCCTTTCAGTGACAAACACTGCCACAAAATCTCACGATCAACAGAGTCCAGAAATACTACTAATACTTTTTCACGATGTTGAAACTGAAGTTATGAAACAGTAGCTTAGCGATTGAGAGTATTATTTAGCTACAAATTGTTTACAGTCATAGAAAGTACAAATCCTTAAATGATCTCATATCGACATGACATGAATTGATAAACGTATGCTGTTATCTCAAGCACAGATTTGAGTATTAGGTATTTGATCTCATTACCTTTGTGAAGGGTAGTATTAATATCTGATTGAATTAAGCACAGTAGTGTTATAACTTTTAAAAACCGGTATTTAGAACAACAAGAAATTGAAATATACATGGCACACTTAAGGACGAAGACAAAAAATTGATAACAACGTTAATTCAATTAACTCATTTATACATATATCGATTTTAATAGTATTTCATAACTACGAACAGTAGATATGATACAGAATTACTGCAAAACGCATCCCATTTGTTACACTGAACATACACACAAGGAATATCACACTAAGCAAAAAATCACAATAATTTAAAGGATACAATATAGGAATTGACACTAGGCTGAAGGTTTGAAGGAAGATAGAGGATAGCAGGACTGTAATAATATGACTTATTTGGGACTATTCAACCTTTATTCAGCAATTGCTTATGACCGTTGAGTCAGTCCATACCACTGGGTGCATTTCACACTATAGGAATATAACCAGTAGTCTATTATTTAGAGAAAACTGAAGTGATTTACATTCTTTAGGTTGCCCTAACCATTTTTCTATCTTATACTAACCAACTTAGCAAGTTGGGTTATATGATTTATTGATAAGCGCTAAGCATATTCTAGCCGTGACATTCAACAGAAGTTTATAATTCCATTCCGAGGCCACACCTAGAGCCTTCGACTTAAAGGTCTAGTCCACAAGGCAGTAGAGCAGTGTTAGAGAAGATGCAGTTCCATGGTAGCCAGTGACCCACAGTGGGTTCATACACTATTTGTTCTTTCAGGATCATGCAGCCCATGTGCACCATTGGTTTGGAATCACGATTTTCCAACCCTCATAGGTGGAGTGGATCATCCGTATTCACCAACCCGGTTAAAGTGCCGGATATTCGCTTTTATCTCAATTTCGTAAACAACACCCGCACCACGAAAGGTAGTGGGCAGAACTTCCTTGATATTGACTGTATACGCAGAGCCATGTAAGAGCATTTCAAGAAGTACAGCTGACTCTCCCCACTCTCAGTCATACCCAGAATATTTGACAAGTATGTTTCCTGCTCAGTCACAAATTGAGAACCTTCTATGTGTTAGACAAAAACATAACAACCATTATACCACAGAAACAACATTTAGTTTGTTCTTCTTTTCTTTAATAAATTCACATACACACACTGTTTATTTTCTTTAACAACAACGAAAAAAGGCGAACAAAATTCTTTCTTTTTTTCTTTCTATTTACAGATATTTCCAACTAGATACTACAAATTAAATAGTTACCAAGTATAGTTACCCTATTTCTCTATTTCATATTATTTACACGTATAGAGGCATATTTGAAAGTTGGATCAAATTTTAATCATTTCGAAAATAGTTCTTCAAATGAACCTCCACTTTTTTTTAAAAAAAAATTTGATTAATTTATTTTTTAAGTTACATACAATTCAACATTCAATGATGTGAAGGATCACAATTAATTATTGAACATTGAATACTTCAAATATGAAACTAGAAAAATGATAAACATAGAAATTTTTCAAGCAAAAAACCGAACAAAAAGAAATCAATTATTGATCATTAAATAAACAATTTGCATAGAAAGAAGAAAAAATTTTTTTGTAAATTTCGAATTTTTCTTCATGTTGATCATAAAAACGAAAACAAAAAAAAACACAATTCAATTCAATAAAACAAATAATCATGTGAACTAATATTTATTCATATTAGGTAAATGATGGTAAGCAACAATATTTTCTTTTTCTTTTCTTTGGCTTCCATTCAGTCAGTTAGTCAATCAGTTAGCAACAACAACAACAACAACAACAACGTAGAACTTTGTACGTGTGTACATTACAGTTCCAGTTGTCATGCCATATTAGCTTCCATTAGTCTTTTTTAGAAGAAGAAGAAAAAAACTCGATATTCGATATAACAAAGTGATCTATATTTGTTTGTTTGTTTATTGTTGGGTAATATTTTGTTTATTGAATTTGTTCAATGTTGCTAAAAAAAGAAAAAAAACTTTTTTTTCCTAGTTATTCAATGTTATAATGAACAAACAAGAAATATTAATTAATATGCATGATTATTATTATTAATAATTTTTTCTATGTGACATATATTTATTTAAGTGGATTTTTGCAACGAGCCCCCAAATGCCCTGCTACGGCCGAGGGTAGGGAGAGTTAGCTTTCCCTCTCGAAATATCCTTACATGGCCATGTGTATACAGTCAATGTTAGGAAAATCCTCCCCACTACCTTTCGTGGTGGGGGTGCTGTTTACGAAATTGAGATAAAAGCGAATATCCGGCACTTTAACCAGGTTGGTGAATACAGAGGATCCACCCCACCTAAGGAAGATATAAAACCCTGATTCCAAACCAATGGTGCGCATGGTCTGCATGATCCTGAAGGAGCAAAAGGCGTATGAACCAATTGTTGGTCACTGACTACCATGGGACTGCATCTCCTTATGCTGCCTTGTGGATTAGACCTTCAGGTCAAAGGCTGGGGATGTGGCCTGCTAAGAAAACCACCTGTTTCGTTCTGGGCACCCTACCAGTATCATAATACACATACAAATTAAGTGACTTGTGTGGCGCATATCTATTCGGTTCCCCTTTGTACCAATATTTATGTGTTCAAATAAATAAATATTTTTGCAATGCAATATACATGCAATATATGAACTGACTTTAGTTAGATAAATATTGAAAATTAGTAAAACACTGAACAACTGCTTCATTCTAGTGTAGTGAACAGAACACCAGTGGAGACAATCGAATGTATTTAACACAAAATTACAGGACTTGTTAATAAAATCTAGCAATCATAAAGTAAATGCTTAGTTTGCAAAATGTTCACCAGTCGTCTCAAAATGGCTAAGACTTCATTGTTCTTGCATTTTCATACAAATTGCGTTCAGTTTACATTTATTACTGTTCGATCCTCTTGTCTCTCTGCTACCAGAACTTCTGTTCACGACTAACATCATATACTACATATGTCAATATAAGTAGCACACACCACACTAGTAGTATGAGGAGACGTTTCAGTAGTGCAAGGTAACGATCCTTACAGACATCAGGTCTTGGCAATAAGCGTTTGACCGTTGAATCAGAATTCGGTGATACTGGATTATCAACAAAACTACGATAAGCTCATTTTTCGAATTATTTACAATCAATCCGAAATTTTCGATAAATCTATACGGTTTTTTAAAAAACCAATGACGAAAACTACCCTCTTCTTGACCTTGAGAGTTGCTCAATGATAATATTTTGATATACAATCTTACCTTACAAACATGAACAGTACACTATGAAACCATTAGTTTGTGCGGTTGTGGTTATATTCCATTGAGTAATCTATACGAATTAGTGGTAAAATCCCGGCAAGATGATTCTTGAAGTGTTTGTCTAAACAAAATCAGTACAAAGTACTCAACTTCCCTACTGCTTTCATTTGACACCAAAAACGGCACAAAGTAACTCTGAAGATTGGTGTGGATGAAGAATTATTAACCTTTCAAAGAACACTCTTAAAAAACAAGTAGTCATTAGACCAAACTATGCTCATTTACATACTCAATACACAGAGTTACTTAAGAAAAAATATACTGAATATAGTACACTTGAATTAATACAAGGAATGAAGATGTCACACTGGATGGAAATTCAGATTTGTCACATTGATCAAAATTAATACTGAAATGATACAGAATTATTGATCTAACGTCACGTCATCTTATCCTATTACTGTATTTTCTTTTGATAGGGACTTCAGGGATTATCAACAGCTTCCCATCCATCGACGCGACAGAAAACTATAACTCAAAATTGGATACATATTCAACTATATAGGGTTACTTCCTTCCATTTACATTCGATTAGCTTTTATCAGACCATCAGTACGAGATATTGAAGGGAAGTGTCCATAATTTGTTTCAATAATAGTACTAAACTCCTTAGAAAGGCGATAAAATTTTGTTGAAAGGGTAATACACTTGACAGGCAGTCATCAAGGGACGAACTTCTTTTTAGAAGTGAACTGACTTAAAGATAATGATGTATACTTGTAAAAACAAGCCCAGGAATTCCCCAGGTTACTCTAAAATCTTTAACATTTGTTTAAATAGTTATGTTTGCCCAATATAGCAACAGAATATAAACACCGAATATCTTCAGCGATTATTTCTAGTGGTTCAGGCCGAATATGCTCTACCAGTGAAATATTTTAGTGTTTACATCGATTGGTCACCGAGTAATGATTGTCTAATTGTTCAGTGTTGGTGAAGTTTCATTTATCAAGTTATGATGTGACAACTAGTCTGATTGACTCAAAATCACGTGGAAGATATTTTCATGTTAGGTGGTTGGAGGTTGTCGGTAAGAGACGAAGGACTTCATGCTAAATAGGACCTTTGGAAGACTTATGCTTTCTAGGGGTTTCAACCTGTTTCATCAGGCTTCACAGACAAAGACATTATCACTGAGTAATTCAGGTTGCTATTAGCTTCAATCCTTAGGAAAATCAGTGCTAAATAGCATGAAAGTTGAATCTCTAATTTCTTCCTAACTACCTCTAAGCACATAACATATCTTAATATTGCTTCGCTCAAGAGTCACATAAATTATATTTACACAGAGGTGTATTACTCTCAGTATAATTCATGACAGCAATGAATTTATGACAAACAGATGTAGTATGTGGGGTTGTGGAGATTATTAAGTTTTTGATTGAAATCATGAACTGATTGATATTAGACCACCGTTGGAAACCTGGACGGCGATTTCGTCCTGTTGTGGGACTCTTCAGCAGTGCGCATCCACGATCTCAATCAAAAACAGATATAGAACAAGTCAATTTCATAGACATCGGATCAGAAGAAGATCGAATACCATATCAAAATATGTATAAGTTTCTTTTCCAAACAGAATTTCTTTATAACAGAAACAAAAAGGAAACAAGAAACAAAAGATAAATAGAGCATAGAATTATGATGAAATATCAATAGCAAAGTATCGAATAGTTGTATCATCTGATGCTGTACACAAGAATGGTTCAATTTTATCATTATTATTATTATTATCGTCTATAGATTTACAAAATGGTGGTAGAGTTAAATAAAGAATCATTGCTTTATGACCCCACCATATTTTTAAAGGAGTTTTTTCTGTTAATAAACCAGATGAAGATTTTCCTGTTAATCCAGTAATACCACACCATGCAACTATGGAACCTTTAGTGGTAGCTGTGAAAAATATAGGTTTATATCGACTCCAACATAATGATGTAATACCGATAGGTTGCTGTTAAATTAGAAATAAATATAAACGAGAATTCATTGAATAGTATCAATCAAATAAAGAGAATGTTTACGTTATACAAATTATTGTATGAAAGGGACAAAATAATTATAATAGGAGAAGCAGTTCAGTTTTAAAAAATTCTACACACGTTCCCATGGTGTTGCCACTGAATGTCAGCAACTTTCCAGAGACAACGACGATCAGACACAGGGAGTTGTCTAACATCCTCAACTCAGAGAGGCCAGGCTTCATGAGCTTAGATCAAGACTGTTCTCATCAACGCGTTGTATATCCGGTCTTTCACAGCTAGACCAGAATCACGAAGGTGCCAAAGATTATCCAGATCGACATAAGCCTCTCTGGCTTCCACTATATATATGAATTGATTTCATCACTCACGTAACCGTCAGTAGATACACAGCTATACCCAAATACACGAACCTTTCAATCACTTCTATATGCTCACTACCAAAAGTGGGTGCAGCTACGCAGTCCTACCAGTCTCGTAAAAGTATTTTGCACTTAGAAGGTGCGAGGTATATGCCATACCTACAGACATTAGTTGCCAACTGATTAAGTGTGGATTGCATAGCTTGGATATCATAACACAGTAAGACAACATCCGCATACACAATAGACAAGGTTAAGTGGGGTCACATAGGTTAACGAGTAGATTCATGAAGTACCAAGAGAACTCATTCAGCATATAGACAATGATGCAACTAAATGTGAACCTCACTAAAAAGCTAAGGAATATCATAATATGTATCACGTAATGTGGTTGTTTTAAACTGATAACCATAAGTCGAAAATCACTAGGATTATCTTTTTTTTCTCTTAGTAGGTTGAACTTTTCTTAATTTTCCAGTAATCAAAATTTCAACGCACAAATAATGGTTGGTTATTGAAAGAGTTAAACAAATTAACATACTCCTAGTTGAATTTTAGAAAATCCTGATTTGAAATCAACACTTCAACAAGAAATAACCTACCGCGTCATCTTCATCTATGTACGTCCATTTTTGACGAACACGAATAGTATGAGCATCACAAATTCCAAGTACACCAGTGATAGAGCCAAAAGCAAATAATGGATGTCTATAATCAAGATAAATAAATAAAATATTAGTAAATAAAAGGGAAATTAGAATGTACTAAGAATAATTCAGGATAGAATGTATTCTGCCACATATCAGATATTGATATCATTCATAACAGTGGATGAATAAACAAACTCATTTCAAACATATTCAGAATACCAGATGGGTTTTGTGGATATTATAGTAATTTCAATGGTTAAGATCATGAGTCAGTTGAAGCTAGACCAGCATGGAAAACCTGGAAGCACTGGACGGCCGTTTCGTCCTATGACTCATGATCTTAACCATTGAAATTACTATAATATCCACAAAACCCATCTGATGCTCCCTAGTGACTGGCTTTAACAAGTATATCCTGGAGTTCTAGTGAGAAGTAGTGACCAGTGGAGTTCAACCAGGTCTGTTGTGAGATAGTAACTCACTGATGTCAATGGTGGATGTGTCGTTCAATTTCGTGGATTAGTTGAAGTTAGACATTAACACCTTTGGATGCCGGCTCAGTGATCTAGTGGTTAAGTGCTCGCGCGCGAAACCAGTAGTCCCTGGGTGCGCGCTACTGAGGAGCCCCATACTGGGACGAAACGGCCATCCAGTGCTTCCAGGTTTTCCATGGTGGTTTTGATATTCAGAGTATATGATAATAAAATAAAGCCGATAGGTTCAGGTCGCCGGATATTAGCATTATCCTTCATACAAATAATGTAGTTTAAAGGTGATTACATCCATCTAAACTCAATAGGTAAGTTAAATCTTTAATTACTGTTTGGATGTATTAGTCAATGAATAATCATGAGTGTAATTTTAATTCATACAAGGTTCAACAACAACAAAATATCCCACCATGATAATTGACATATATCCAACCAATTTCAACTTAGTAACAGGTAAATACTCCTTAGATGAACTCAAACAATCATTCATTTAACTCCAAATTTCAAAGTTTAATATGTACTTTATAATAACAATGATGTATTGGTTATTTTAGGACTGAAACTGGTTAGTCACTTTTGGCAGTTGGACATCCTGTACGAACTGCCTCGATATTACAATTAAGTCATAAGCATTTAAAGCATAAATGGATAGTGGCTAGTAATGAAATCCAGGACGCGTGTTTTGTCGTATTTGGGACTAGTTAGCTGGATGTACTTGCATCCCACAGGTGATGTACATTTTGAGACACGAATCGAGTACCGTTCGCTTGATGACGAGTCCCAGATGGGATGAAACGTGCGTTCCGGATTTCACTCCTAACCTTCATTTCATCTCTGCTTAAAAATGATGATACTCGTTTACTGAATCCATAAACTTAAAATTTGTAATCGAGTTCAAGAAGCTCATGACCATATAATCTCTCCAAACTACCAGGAATTATTAAATCATACGAAGCCCATTTTGTACCACATTATTTATATAAAGTCATATGATACCATCTGATCTTCACAAAACGAAGATGATACAGAACACGAATCAGAGACTTATTGGCTGAAAGTCAAGTAGTTTCATTCCATAAATGTTTTTAAAGCAAGATTATATACTTATATCTTGCATTGAGTATGTAGCGAGATATCAGCTGATTACTATCTCATTGATTTTGAATAAAGCTATAGATGGATTGATATACTCAGATGCTTACACATGATATACAAATAAATAACTGTGATTTGTATAATCATAACCTCTTATTCTTTGTAAATTGTGTTTATACAGTTTTTGTATATTGACATCTTGTTTATAATTAATTACTCAATCGGACAAATATGTTTGCGGTTAATATGAATAGTATAAGAGTATTAGATCAAAGACTTACGTCCAAGAACAGTTTAATGCTTCAACGGATCCATCATCACCTGTTTTAATGATATCTAAAACCTGTACAATAAAACAGATTAATTAATAATAAATAAAATTCTAATTTCTATTAAAATCATAATATTTAAAAGGTTACAGTGAAAGCAAAACCCTTGCATATGCATAAACATAGTTCAACTTGTTCTCATTCAATATAGCAATGAGATCTAACCAATAATAGAACATTGAGATTCATAGTTTAATAATAATTTTATCAGTATAGAGTTGTGGAGATTGTTGAGTTTAAACTGATATCATGAATGTATCAATGTTAAACCATCATTGAAAACCTGGAAGCACTGAACGGCCATTTCGTCTCAGTATGGGACTCCTCAACAGTAAGCATTCATGATCCTGCATGAGATCCTAGGTTTGAATCCTACGTGCGAGATCGTGGATGCTTACTGCTGAAGAGTTTCATACTAGGGCGAAATGGACATCCAGTGCTTCCAGGTTTTCAATAATAGTCTAGCTTATATTAACTCATGAATTCAATCATTAAAATTACTATAATCCCTACAAACTTCATTCTGATTATAGTTTTCTTTATTTCACAATTTATCTAGTTTGCCTGACCTTTACTTTCTCAGCTACAAAAAGTCATCACAAGTAAATGTGTGACCGGATTGTTGGTCGAAGTGTATTGCATCACCACATTACGTAATTCTGATAAAGCTTGTCTTTTCTTCATTGTATGATCTAAATTTATCAAAGAGATAAGAGATGATGCTTTGAAACAGATATATCAGTCAATCATACCTCTAACACCACTCAAGAAACAAATATATAATGATTGATCAATAAACCTGGAGTCTTTACTTGCTGATTATGTCATATGCTATCAACGTAGTCTTTTTCTCCCTTTTAATCGTGACAAGTGGATAGAATTCTTGATAAGAGAATATATATATATATATATATATATATATATATATATATATATATATATATATATATATATATATATATATATATATATATATATAATTACTGCCTCCTAATTCCCTGGTACAGACAAGGGTAGGGAGATTCGTCTTTCTTTCTCGAAATGTTTCCATATGGCCATGCATATATAGTCACCGTTAGGGAGGTCCTACTCACTGCCTTCTTGTTTCAGGGGTGTTGTTTACTAAGTTGAGAGGACGAAAATTGAATCTTCAGTGCTAAAACCGGGTAAGTACAGTGGGACCACCTAGTGAAGTTGTAGAAACCTGATTTCAAACAAATGGTGCACACTGGCTTAAGAACCCTAAAGAAACAAATGGCGCATGAACCCATCCTTGGTCACCGTCTACCATAGGAGTGCATCTCCTAATGTCGCTTTACTGCCTCGTGGATTGGATCTTTACGTCAAGTGCTCAGGGAGTGGCTCCCTAACAAAACCATATGTTTCTGGTTAGCGTACTGGGAGAATATCCCAACCAACGCACAAATTTAATGATTTGCTATGTGGTCCACATATATTTTAGTGCCCCATTTTACCAAACTTCAGCAGTCAGTCAGCTATAACGCAGGACCAGGTACATATGTGCATCCGTCCAAGTTGACATACCTCATTAGCACAAAAAGATGAACACCAAATCCATAGGAGCAGTTACTTCAATGGTATATAAAAAGATCGCATGCAAGAATATAATACAGGGAGAAAGAATTAGTTCGTAGAAAGATATGAAGCGATTTTAATCTCTTAGTTTAAGGGAAGACAGAGAGTGTTCACACCTACACCACTGTGTTCGATTCTGAGCCATGTCACACAGAGTCCCCAACCATTGCCTACGATAGTCACGCGGACCCTAACCAAGTAGTCTGCATCTACCAAAATGGTTAAGACCAGAAGTTAGTGACTTCAAGTACTGATGTAACGTTTTGGTTTGGCCATCCCTAACTTTTTTCCTACCATTCACAACACTAGTCAGCATTGCGCGTAGTGGTAATCGGTGTTCAGGCATACGCAACACGTCACCCAACCATCTCAGTCGATGAAGATTCACAACCTCATCAACTGATTTACCATCATTACCTAATACTCTACGTCTAGCCTCACTATTACTTACCCGGTGATCCCAGCAGATGCAAGCAACATTTCTAAGACATCTGTGGTCAAACACTAGTAGCTTACGAGTACCTTCTCTTCTTAATGGCCATGTTTTGCAGCCATAATGTTGAACAGAACAAAGTGTTGCACAGTTTACTCGTCCCTTAATCTCTTCCAGTGTTTAAATAAACAGATATACAATATACATTTAAGAATTTATTCAAATGATTATGGATTACCTACCTTAAAATGTAATTCCCCATCAAATTTAATAGAGATAGGACATATAAATCCATTTCCAGTAATTAATAATAAATCATGATTCAAGTTATCATTTGTATTAGATTGAGTTTTCAATGATTGTAATGAAATCATTTGATATACTTCTAAATGTTGACCGCATTGATTAGATAAAGAAGAATATTTATCGAATAATTTAATAGAACCAATTAATGTCAGTGTTTTTATATCCCATACACGTAGATCACCATTTCGATGAAGTACTGCTAATTTTGGATTTTTAGTATTAGAAAAACTTGGTAGAATAATCCCATCTAATGCAGCTTGATCAAGATCTAGAAAAAAAAAATGTAATTTATTGTTTGTTTATTTCTTTTATTTAAAGAGAAAATTGTAGTATGAGAAATTATTTATTTATTTATTTAAACACATAAACATTGGTACAAGGAGTCGGTCAGTCAGCTACAACGTAGGACCAGGCACATATGTGCAAGGAGGCACCAAGTAGATAAGCGCCACATAAATCATTCGATTTGTGTGAGGGCTGTGATACTGTCCGGGTGCCCAGACCGAAGTAGGTGGTTTTCTTAGGGGACCACACTCTGAGCCTTTGACCTAAAGGTCTGACCCACAAGGCAGTGGAGCATCGTCAGGAGATGCAGTCCCATGATAGCCGGTGACCAACGATTGGTTCATACGCCATTTGTTCCCGCAAGATACTGGAGCCCTGTGCACCATTGGTTTGGAATCCGGTTAAAGCGTCGGACATTCACTTTTCGTCTTCTCATTTTCGTAAGCAACACCCTCGCCACGAGAAGGTAGTGAGTAGGACTTCCCTAGTGGAGGCTTTATACGCGTGGCCGTGTGAGAGCATTTCGAGAGGGAGGGCGGGCCCACCCCACTCTCAGTCATACCAGGGCATTTGGGGTTTGAATATTGTTATAATTTATAACCTTTGTGCCCGGGATCAATGACGCATAAACCTGTACGAGTAGTCTAGAGTCTTTATCGGTTCTTCTTCCTGCTTGTTAAGTCCAGAATACCAATCTCAGCCTTCGTGATATGAATCATTTATTTTAAATATACTGGGTTTATATTACAAACCAAACAGATCACATCGCATCAAAAGATAGAAAATAACATTTATACAAGATTTAGCCAAAAGTGGTTGTGAATGTGTGAGGTATTGATTAATAGACTGGGCATAATTCAAGAATGGTAAATCGTATACTCATAGTCTATGGGTCAAAATAAAGCTTATAATAATAAAAGGAACATGAATATGCATAGTTTAGCTACCCAACAATATATGTATCGTATTGGTCCATAAATAGTTCTCAAAAGTTACCATTTATAATTCTCGTCGAAATATAAGATATAAATTTATGGAAGAAAAAACACATTACGTCATAATGGTAAAGAAAATCATGACATCAGGCCTACTGCTACCATTAATGATCAACAGTCGGATTTCGATAAGTATACCTATGTTCTAGGATCTGATAAAAAGTGAATATCTAATTCATATATACATCTTCAAATCTGAAACTAGACTTATTTGATCGAGTTTACTATTCACTAGTCTTAGTTAAGCTCTGAATGATTATTGAGGATGATATTTTACACACTAAATTTCTTAAATTGACTACTTTGTAGTTATCATAGGGAGATTGCTGTTTTTTCTTATTAGCTGGAAAGATTAGAGATCGTAAACAGTTATATGGGATTATTTTCATTTCCAGACTCTGGGTGATATTTAAATCAATCTAACTGCTTAACATGGATCATCATCCTTAAAATCAGTGATTGATAGGACTGGTGTTTTTGTTAAGCTGAAATCTAAACGGTTTTCCTGTTGTAGCTTTTCTGCATCCAGAAAGACGCCAACAAACGCATACACGTACTAGAGTATGATCAGAGATAAACATGTGCATTGGGATGAGCGGTAGTCTTCTACTGAGCCTATGCAATGATGGTTTGTGGTAATATGGTCTAGTTGTGTATACTGATGAGTCAATTTTGGTGCGTCACCGTGTCAAACAATGTCTCCTGATGATTAAAATCGGTGTTTGCTAGAAACAAACGGTTGTCCGAGAAAAGCTGCCGAAGACAGTTGGTGTTATTCATTCACTGGGAAGAGACACTAAAAGACACCTAAAAAGTTGTAGGCATGTCTTTAGATAAAAAATGGGGAAATTGAGCTGGTGGGATCAAGTGAATGATTATATTTAGATTCCATATGTGGGTTTCGGATCTGTAACATGTGGTAATAATAAGAGACCCGACAGTCTGAAGCTTGTTATTAGACCTAGCATGAGGTTGGAACATTGAGAGCTTGAAAAGCAGTTTTAAAAGATAACACTTAGGATAACACTTAGTGAACTCGAACCATGGCAGTGATGGTGCGTGAAAAGACGAAAATCATTGAAGAGTTGATATCTAGGATAGAAGAAAATACCTATTGCCAATGACGAAAATACATGGAAAAAGATACAATTTCCCATTTCAAAATCGATCTTTACTAAGCTCCGACATGGAGAGGCAGAATCGCTGCAGATGCTAACAGAAACTTGCTATCACCAGCACACCTCACCATAGTCGTAAGCACGACTTTGCCTTCGGGCCTTAATTTGCAGCTTTTGATCTTACCGCACTGAAACTGATCCGCCTGGGATGGGAATATTAAAAGGAATGAATATTCCAGCCAATACAAGTTATTTGGTTCATCATGATATCTAGTCCCGACCACTACGTCAAGGTAGCAGCCATAATCAGGCAGCCAATCAGTTTACAGTATGAAAAATACTATCAATTGTTTTAAACTTAATACAGAAAACCGAATTTTAAAAAATTACTATTAAATCTACTGTAGATGTCATTTTGGGAGAAAAAAACATACCATACGTATACGCCATTGATATACACTTCCCCTGATTGTTTGATATGCTAGAACTTACAGCCCAATAATTAACATAACTATGTTCATCACCAGCTAAAAGTAGAGCAGGTTTTGGAAGTTCATTATTCATATTTCGTACAGCATTTGAAGGTGATATCCACCATTTAATCCATAATAAATCATTAACAGTTTCTGTTCTTAATAATTTCCATTCTTTCGAGTTTTCTTCTATCAACGGTCTTAACCAAATACGAATATTTCCAGCCATATCACCAGTACATAAATAATCACCATTTGGACTGAAACTAACACAATTCACAGAATCATCATGACCTACATTATTCATGAATATTTTGTTTTAGTGAATAAAGACATACATAAAAAGAATAACGATAAGAATGAGAACAAAATTACTAGTTAAAAAAAATCCATTGATATGAAGCTGTGAACCTTCATTAATTGAGGTACTTGTATTATGAAGGAGACTTGTAATGATTTGAGGAGATGAATTTTCGATTTTGCTGAGGAGTCCCACAATAAGACGGAACGGCCGTCCTGTGCTTCCAGGTTTCCAATGGTAGTCTAACATCAATCGGTTCAAGATCTCAATCAAGAGTTTTCGATTGTAAAAACCAAAGGATGGAATGGTTATCATTAGGTAAATACAATTATATGAATTGTGTTCGAGTGATGGTCTCTCACAAGACTGTATTATTGAATTAGGCCCCCAAATTCCTTATCTAATCAAATAATATGCTTATAATGCCCAATATGAACAGAATAAATAAGACAAAGTGTCATAGACAATTGGCGGAAATTAGTTTGTAGGTCACTCACTATCCAATATATTAAGTCTTGATTGTTAAGCCTAATTCTTGGTTATTGTATCAACTTGGGACATGTGTCATGAATGTTAAGCCACTACTTATCTCGACGTATTATTATTATTATTTCAACAGATAAATATTGGTACAAGAGGGCACCAAATACAGATGCGCAACACCATATTTGTGTGTGTGGGCTGTGATACTGTCCGGGTGCCTAGATCGAAGCAGGTGGTTTTCTTAGGGGACCACACTCTGAGCCTTTGACCTAAAGGTCTGACCCACAAGGCAGTGGAGCATCGTCAGGAGATGCAGTCCCATGATAGCCGGTGATCAACGATTGGTTCATACGCCATTTGTTCCCGCAAGATACTGGAGCCCATGTGCACCATTGGTTTGGAATCCGGTTAAAGCGTCGGACATTCACTTTTCGTCTTCTCATTTTCGTAAGCAACACCCCCGCCACGAGAAGGTAGTGAGTAGGACTTCCCTGGTGGAGGCTTTATACGCGTGGTCGTGTGAGAGCATTTCGAGAGGGAGGGAGGGCCTACTCCGCTCTCGGTCATACCAGTGCATTTGGGTGGCTAACAGGAATATGTTGGAAGATTATGCACAGTTAGGAGAGAACATGAGATTAGTTTATGAAGTCACTGACCAATGGACTAGGCGGAATTAGGCGACGAAAACTATTTAATCATAGTCCGCGTCGATGTACTCTTTATTTTTGTATATTTCTTGAATTTTAGTAATATACCATTTATTTCGCTTTACTACCTTACTGACAATTAGTTGGAGAAATTGGGTGACATGGGTCAATATCGATCACAATATCACAAATCCATGCACTCTTTATTTTATTACTCTACCTTTTAATCCTGTGAATTTATTCTTTCTCGAATCACATTGTCCTTTATCCGTTTTACTTTCTTAATCACTTCCTACGCCTGTTACTCCAAGCCCATCATAGGCCGCAGATCAGGATTCTACAACCAACCGATCAATACATATACCCGGTTTTGCGTTGACCATGATTGTGACTGATCTAAGATCGAATGGTTGGATGATAAGTGACTCAACCACTATTTATTTTATTTATTTAAACACAAACATTGGTACAAAGAGGCACCAAATAGATGTGCGCCAAATGAATCTTTGATTCGTGTGAGGGCTGGGGGTCACACCTGGAGCTAAAGGTCTGATCCACAAGGCAGTGAAGCAAGGTCGGGAGATGCAGTCCCAATAATTGGTTCATACGCCATTTGTCCCCTCAGGATCCTAGAGCATATGTACACCATTGGTTTGGAATCAGGGTTCCCCAACTTCCCTAGGTAGACCCTCCATATCCACCAACCCTGACATTCGCTTTTCATCCCCTCAATTTGGTAAACAACACCCCCACCACGAGAAGGCAGTGAGTGTGATTCCCCTGGCAGTGGTTGTATGCACGCGGCCATGTGAGAGCATTTCGAGAGGGAGGGCTGACTCTCCCCACTATCGGCCGTACTCTTAATCCACCCTAATACACAACATGCTTTGTACTTAACCATATTTAATAGATTTAGATCTAATTAATAATATTTGTAAACATCTACTGATTGTTGATTTAGGATCAAATGTTGACTGATAGCAGACTTTACAGAAAACAAATAACCATTCATAAATATGGTAGTACTACTGATGATAATAACATTAATAATAATAATAATAATAATAATAATAATAATAATAATAATAATAATAATAATAATGATAATAAAACGCGACCTTGACAAATGAATTCAATTTCACCAGTTGTTGCATTCCATATTATAGCAATATGATCTTGTCCACCGGATGCAAGAAATTTACCAGTACTATCAAAATCTAAACAGAAGACGCTTTCTGAAATAATGAAAGTAATCGTTAAGTAGAAAATAGTTGTAAGGACATATATATATATAAAGTTGAGAAATATCAGCTGATGGAATAACTTTCTAGTGATTTAAAAGATGATGCATTGTACACTGATTGAGTTTTGAAAATTTCAAATCTACTTTTGAAACTAATCGACAGGGCTATCGATACTACTTATACTAACGAAGTGGAGTTCGAACATAGGGTTCAGTGAATAAAAGCTGGGTAGATTAATCAGTAAAATATCTACCTCTTGTGTATTGTTTGGCGAGGGAACGTGTCGTATCCCCATAAAGGTGCAATTGGACTGAAACTTTTCGTTGAATATTTGCCCTAAGTTTTAGTGATGATAACTAGTTAAAAATAACCTACAAAAGTTGAGTAAAACTAGATATTAAATGGTCGAATATAGTCGGACCTTGGACTAGATAGACATGACACTGTTCACTACATAATGACCAACTAGACGTACACATCACAGTTTTATTGAAGGTCAGTTGCAGTCCGAATGGCTTAGAGTTAAAGTTTCAGACAGTGAAGATGGGCGCTGTGGGTTTTAATCCTTCGGAGGGGTACCAATTACCTCAAGATTATAGTTACGCTCTGCTAACAAGTGCTGAATAGCATGAGACCTATGCCCAGGATTTCCTGCCAACTACCTTCAACTGTCTAACAGCCAGACATGTTTTGCACGATGTCAGGTCACTCAGATTAGTGGCTACATTGCAACCCTATCGACAGAATTCAGACAAAGATTACATTCATCACTCAGCAATCAACCAATGTAGAATAAAACCACATAGATAAACCATATGGAAAATTGTTGTATCGAAGTAAAAATCATAACGTGACAGTACATCAGAGACTTTATATACATAATTTGTTAAAAGAAATCGATGCGTAACAAATTCATCAAAGTCAAAAAACAGTGGATAGCTGTGTCTTTCAGTTTATCACTCTACATAAGTGCTTCTACAGATCGCATCAATACATGGTGATGATTATCTTCAAAGAACCACACGTAAATTCATACAGATAAACTTCTTATGCATCTATTGGAATTGTAAATAACCGTATTGGATTTGCCCATACGAAATCGACGGTTCAATGTTAAACTAAGTAGATTGTAAATTCATTCAATCGACGACATCTACTTTAAGATCTTATTCCATTTATACTGATTAAGTGTTTGATTGTGCTTATAAAATGCAGAATTTTGATCAACAAAATTCAACCTTGAAGTAGTTGTATCTAGTCATGTTTGGTTTACTAGATTACAGTGAATACCCAACTACACTACGAGATAAATAGCCTGATAACAGGGAAATAGCTGAACTTCCAATGGAGAGAGACATTTGTTATCATGAGCTATTACAAACGATGAAAACATTAAGAAATCGAAATACATAAGGATTAATCTGTTTACTAAGCCATCAGTTTAATTAAGTCTACAGTAGTAGGATGATGGTTATTGAAAACCAGGTGGCGTACCAGTACTCTACACTTAATCTGTGAGCATAACATTAAATAGAATAGTATAACATAATAGGATAAAACACAACCTTGAAGTAATAGTCAGTTGGATACTAATAGCGCAACTGAAGTTTCTGGTAGATTCCGAAAGATTAACGGTGCTTTTCTCAGTCACTGAGGAATAGACTTGTTGCTTAAGTAATCGGACTAGCCATCATCTCATTTTCTGTCTATTAGAAACTGGAAGTGCCGAATTTCTGGTCGAATCCAGGACATGATGACAAGATAGATTATTGTGCTAATGAGGTATGGCAACATGGACCGATGCATATGTGCCCGGTCTTATGTTATAGGCCGACTAACAACATAATGCTAGATTTCAAGACATAATCCTGTCTTCTGAGAAACTTGCATTACTCGAAGGTATTATTTGACACTAATAACCATTTTATTAAAACGATGTCGTCTATTTATTGAATCAAAACCTAGTATCTTCAAGTTCATAGAGAATTGTGCGCTTCCTGACATGATAATCATCGGCTGAGGAAATTCTCTTCGTAGCGTATTTTAGTTTATCACACAAATCCATTGACTACTTGTGAGTCTTTTCTATCCATTGTATTGTGATTATTTTACCATTATGATCTTCAAAAAACTAAGTACTAGGAATGGATAAACCATTGTGTGAGATCACAACACACCGACCCATTTTCTGTCATAAACAGTTAAATCAGTAGTTAATATACAGTTCATCGGCACACAAACGCATATCGGACAGAATAACACAATTTACCATTAATTGTCCGAACAAACCTTTATGGCCTGAGAGCAATTTGAATGTACCATCTTGAGAAGGTGAAAAATACTGTACAACATCCATACTACTGTCCACCACTTCAGCTTCTATAAATTGAGATATAAAAAAAATACTATTATAGTGGAATTAAATTTATACTACCTTTATTTGTCTCTGACTTGTAAACGACTCCGTAATAAGGTTTTTTATTACTGAACAAGTTCCACTGGTCAAATCTCGACGTGCTTCGATATGGAGGAACACTTTACCCGCAATAATATCCAAAAAGATATGAATTTTAGGTGCTGCTTAACAATACCCAACTCCTATTAGGGGAATTGATGCTCTACATTATATTTATCAATGACGTCATAAATGCAATCTGTTTGAGTCTAACATACATCTGTTACGGTCTTCTGACGCACGGCCACCACGTAAACCAGTGCCATATTAATAAACTAACACCAGTCGGAAATCATTTTTATTTTTGTGATCTGGCTTCAGGTATACATAAGTAGCACTAGTAAGTATTCATTGTAAGAAAACCGTATAGGATCGAAAGCTCACTAGCAGTAACCAGTGTTATAAACAATTCAGTTTACAGACCTATGAAGCTACCTCACACCAACCTAGCTATTCGTGCCCCATTAACAAAAAATGGTTTGCTTGGAGGATATCGTGCTTACATTCGAAAACCTGGTCTGTGCAGGTCACCTATGGGCCGACAGTGACCCTTCAACTCGCAAAATGGCCGTCAGTATATGTAAACCAATAGTGTGCACTGAATATTTTAAGCATTGCTCTTTCGACTGATGTAAAGTATTAGAGCTTACGACAAAAGCGTGACACGAAACCGTAGCGACAAGTGTCTATTGACGAATTATCTTCAGTAGAACCATATCTAGTTAACGTCATAGACTTGGTAAGTACACCGTCCAGTAATATCCACCTAGAACTTATCGGATGTGCGCTACATGAGGTCGAACTCGCTTGAGCTATCTAACATACCAAAGTTAGCCTGTCACGTGACAATCGGATAAGCCCGGATGGAGTTAGAAGTTTGACGTCTGGCAAGCTGATCAGGTACCATGAACCAAATAATAACGGCCTAGATCAACCACATAGTTAGATTTCTGTTGAAGGAACTAGTCACGTGTACTAACGCACTGTTCTCAACACCACTTCAGGAAGGCTTCGTTTGAAGCATCGCTCCTCCCGAGAATACCGAGCCGGCCATGAACCAACACTCTAGTTTCGGAAACAAACATCACGTTAGGAGCCACCACCCACAACCTATTGAGTCGACTAGTGGCATGTCACCGCAGTAATTGTTACCACACAGGGTATGAGTAAACAAACCAAGTACCGGGACCTATTCGATGACCATAAGGATAAATCACCTACAGGGTAGCTAACCCGTTACTTCCGGTTAATAGGTCCCTAAACTAAAATGGAGCTTTCATGCCTGAAATAGAAGCAAGGGAACACAACACATGACTTCTCGTAGCACTGGGCTGATAGCACGGCTGAAAAAGCCACTCACCGTTAATCGATTCATCATCCGAGTTGTTCACAGACTGATTCTCATCTTCAATCCAATCCACATCTCCATCCACAAATTCAACGTCATCCGGTTCACTAGCCTACAGAACAAATGACGGGATATGACTTTCTTGCAGATGTCATAATCAAAACTTAGTTTCCTAACTAATAAACACTCATTCAACAACATGTCTAATGCCCACATTAAAATAACAGAAGACATCAGTGTGGAAAGAATTTATTTGATCTCCCACAAAGGTACAAGGGCTTCACAACGATTACGTCACTTGCTCCTTTCCCTCATTTTCCTTCGTTTACGCTTCAGTCTCCTCATCCTCTTTTTTCGCCACTTATCACGCATCTAGGAACTGAATAAATCAAAGTATGACAACTTACCACGCCACGATCAATAAGTTAAGCCAAGACTGCCTTCAACTCGACCACGTTCAAACACACTCTCAAGGTACAATAGTTTAAGATTATGGTTCAAATAACAAGGCTAACCGAATCTGATTAATGCTAACAGAAAAATGTTTTGGATAGGAGCAGTGTGTTTTACTTATTCAATTCTTGCGGAGCATAAACGTAAACATCACTTATCCATGTAAGTGGTAAGGGAATAACATCTTGAGTAATTTTCAGTACCTGCCGACTAATACAAATGTAAAAACTTCTATTTGAATAATTTACGGGAAGTGAAATCCTTGCTTTTCTCGGTAGCGAGTTTTGGAACTTGCGGATTCTGAAAAATAAAACGTTGACACGTATTTTCATGAACCCTTTAGTGTAATATCCCGAAATAAATGCCTGTGTAATGCTAAATAAATAATCGAAATAAATAGTTCCGTGAGTCTTCAACGTTGTCTCTGACCTCATTAGTTTAAGTAGACACACCCTCGATCAGGGCACTTGGTCACGTATAATCACCAGGTCACGAGTAGTACGCCATGCTGTGCATCGATTGCAACTACTAAACAGTTCAGAAAAACGCTTCTCCACTTATCAGTAGCTTTCCAAATATATCTTCGAACTTTCCCATTGCTGGCTTCCAGTTGAACTGGGTTGGTATCCTTTGATTTTAAGGGTGTTTCGAGTAAAGGCTTTGTCCGTTCTCATTATGTGACATCTTTCTCCATTTGGGCGTAAGATATTATTGAGTAGTATGTATCCTCTTTAGGGTACAAGAAAATTGCGGACAATATGATACAACGGTCAGAGGCTCACAATCCCTTGAGCCGAACAAGGGAGCTGGTTTTTATTTATTTCCCAGTCCCACTACCTGTTTTGTCATTTTCCTTTGAATTCGTTTAAGGAAGATTATATCTTTTACAAGTTAATCGTGACAACTGCAACGGGTGGTATCACAGTGTGTAGACTGGACTCACACCAGCTGCATACCAAAGATGTTGCAAGCCACTCTCATGTCGGTTGTTCAAAGTATGCTGATTCTTGAGGCGACTGAGCTGCTGAACATAACTAGAAAGATGCTCTCAGATAAACAGCCACCAGTAGATGAGCAGCCTTCAGTTTTCGAGGAAATAGCGAGCGTTATTATAAGTCCAGCCTTGAATTCGAAGAAACTATCAAGGTGGGCCCCAATGAGGTAGCGAACAGCAAGCATACAGATGTAGGCGTGGTTACGAGAAAAAGGAAAACACAATTGGAACGAAGAAATCATCGTCAGCACTAAGGTATGGTTCCAGCTCAGGATGATGTGATCAAGAGACATAATAAAGTCAGCGACTGGCTTACAGTTGTACCCAGAAAAAGAAAACAGAGTGAAGTCTTCACGTCTGATACCGAACTGGACTGCTGGGATGGGATTTCAGAGAACAAACCTCCACAGCTTATTAACACGGACCTCACTGACATGTCAGCCATTTTTCATAAGTCAGGCGAATCTTCCAAAGCTGATCAAACGACTAGATTTGAACACGACCTAAGCCACACTTGTTATTTGTTAAGTAAGCTACATCCGGAAATAGTAGCAGGAGTAAGCATCCATAATCTTTATAGAATAGAACAAATAGTAGGTTCTGAAATTACGCAGAAGGCTGCCTGTTAAAAGTTACCTTAGCTTCTGTAGGAGAAAGAGACCGACTACTAGAAAACTCCTGCAAACTGACCGCAACCGGAATACACGTCCGTTGGGATCTTAGCCTGGTTGGTCGTATTAAGAGACGATTAGCCCGAGTAGAGATAAATGAGCGCTGCCGGTAAGGTGAAAAACCTCATAATTAAAGGTTTTCTAATTGTAAATGTTTGGAGCAAAGCGATCCTCAAAGCACTCTGGCAGGTGAGGGAAAGCTCCTCACAGAACTAAGGGCGTGCTACAAAAATGCTTCTAGCACACAAAATAAAATGCCAAGCTCAAAACAGTAAACACATAAAGCTCTAAGGTCATTGACATCTCAGACACATGGATGACGTCAGAAGTGTCTGATAGCGAAATTCATTTGTTTGGTTTCTTACTTAGTAAGGCTGACAGATGAAACCGCAAGGGTGGTGGGATTATCCTGAACACGAAAAGTATCTTAACCATACGACCTGTCGGTTCAGTAACACACGAGTCAGTGACATGTGAGACGGTGCAAGATACTGGATTGGTTGTAGTATAAGTGAATGACTTCATCCTAAGCAAATTTAAACCATCGGGTACTGAGGTACCAAGAAAACTGTATATTTGATTCAAGGTCATCAGTGGAAGAAGCGTGGAATCACTTTTGATAATTACAAAGCCAAACAACTCAACCATTTATACCCTGAACAGTCCCAAAGAAGTAGAAGCACGGACATCTCTGGGTAGACTGGGATATTCGAAGTTTACCAATACAAAAGTGCTGGAATATAGCTATCAGATTTGGCACACGAAGTAAGACTCAACGCTTCAGGTTGGTACAAAATAACTGCATAACTACGATCAGGGAAACACATCGAAAAATATGAAAAGGCGGTGGCTCATTCTGCAATACGTCAGCCTAAAAATTATCCTCGTACATAAATTACAGAACTAGGACGCAGCATCAAATTTTCAACCTAATTACACAAGGGATTGTATCTCAAATGACGAAGGAAGATCAGAACAAAAAAGAGGCTGTGGTAGTTTGTTTTGTGGCATTTTTCACTCAGGAACCCATTCTAGACGAAGAACATGACCCAAAAAGTCAATAAGCCATTCGCTCATTGTAGACTTCGATCGAGACGATGTACTTAGGGCTCTTAGCACTTCAGATACGGAAACATCTACAGTACTAGGTGTGCTAGACCCTAAAGTCTTGGGACAAATTGCGCAATATATTCCTTCTCCATTGACTATGATACGTCACTTGGTCAAGGTCAGCTGCCTATGTACCGGAAGGATGCAACTGTGACTCCAATACATTGAACAGAACCAATAAAACCATAATCAAACTACAGACCTGTCAATCCCACTAGTGTCATAGTTAAAGTACTGAGAAGATTAATCAAAAAGACCATAATGACGGTCGTGGAAACCAACGATTTGTTGAACAGCAAACAGCAAGATTTCAGAAAGTGTTTATCTTGCACAACAAATCTCCTTGCGGCAAAAGAGTAATGGATAGACGCCCTAGATAGTAGAAAATCAGTGGATGTTGTCTATATAAACTTCAGCAAAGCATTTGACAAAGTGCCAACAAACAGACTGCTATTGAAACGAGGTCTTGACATTGTTAAACCTCTTCTAAAATGGTGTGTGGGTTTTTTCCAGATTGGATCATACTCAAAAATGTAAAACACTTTGGAGTAGTACGAGGATTAGGGTATCTAAAACTTTAAGGAGGTTATAGGAAACGACTCCTTTATTTCTATTTCCTTATTTTCTCCCTTTCCTTCTTTAAACTCAATACAATATTCTTCTCAATTACACAGAACCTGAATTCTTATTACTATTCCTTTATGATTATTATTCTCTTTTTCAAATGTGGCAAATATAATGCTAACATTATTAAAGCTTGTGTATTATTGCATCTTTGAAGAAACCCGAAATGGTTCCTTCACAACACTTATGTACCTATAAGATTTTTGTGAATCATAATAATAATGACAATTCTGGTCTCTAGATTTCCTTCATAGGAGATATTTTGGGACTTCATTGAATGATTTGCGGCAATTGGGTGAGAAGATATTTTCAGTTCTGGGTAAGGGTTCCACTGTGTGCCAGCTGATAACTGATCGGTTACCTGAGTTGATATGTTTCACGAGGAGATGAAACAATATCTTGAGCGGACGGTTACCTGAGTGCCCTAAGTAATTAGTGTATCCTGGGAAAATAGTTTGGTAGCATCATTGTCGAATACCCATAGAACGTTTTATTTTATGTAGCCATTTTTCTGTGTGATTCTCACGAGAAAGCCAAGTACCTATCACTGGTGACCATGAAATAAAGACATCTATTCAACATGTGGAGAAAGGGGACTACTCATTGTGCGCTCAAACCCGGTTTCAAAAGATCAATTTGACAGATTACAAACCCTGTTTTGACGGTAGTTACTTGTTAGCTTGATCATAAGACAAAATGTCACCAATGCTTGATATTGCACACTTTAAGAAATTTCAAAGTGATTAATAGATATCTCACTACAATTTATATAACACTGGCACTGGTTCCTTATTCTCCCACACCAACTTAATAAATGATGAAGCAGGCTCAAAATATGTTGTCCAGTTAGAGATAAGTTGATGCAGTCATGCAAAAACAAAAAAGGCCAATTTATTGTAGTCCTTGACCGTGTATGCCCTAGGATATCTCATAGTGCCCAGGATCATCATATTCACAAAAATACGCTCCGGTTGCTTTCCTTTTCCTATGGCATAACGATTATGAATCATAAGTGATAACAATAATCATAATTTATCCTCAAATAACAATGCTAACTATTCAAGTCTATGAAATGTCACCACCTTTGTTTCGAAAAAGCACACAGGAAATCCCTCCAAATCATTTCGTTGGACGTCATTTTCATCTATTTGTTTTTCCCCATCTCGCATTCTAACCTTTATTCAGGTCTCTCTTAACCGCACTTCATGTCCTTCGGTCATCGTCATCTGAAATTTTATTATTCAACCTTGGTTAAGGAATCACCATTGATTACTCGATTTGACAATTGCATGTTGCCGGATAACTGACAATAAGGTAGTGTTTGACTCAACTCAAGATCACGGTGTGGT